TTAAGTGTTTTCCATGTACAACCTGATCTACCACCTTTTATGGCCGACACACACACACACACACACACACATATGTATATATATATATATATGTGTGTGTGTGTGTGTGTGTGTGTGTGTGTGTGTGTGTGTATGAACACACACACACACACATTCCTTTATTATCAGTAGATCTGAAAAAAATATGAGTGCAGTGTATTGCAGTGCTTTCCTGCATTTATTTACTATAATTACGTTTTTTTTCTGATAGACTCTCTTATAAGAATTAGTATCATACAGACAGAACACCTGGATAACGCGAAATTGAACGGCAAGTTAACAATTCATATATATCCGTTGATCCTTTTTTTCTTAAAACTTATTATTCATTGGTTGCTGTTTAAAATCAATAAGAATGTCAAGGTAATTGAATCAGGGAGAGTTTGATGATGGATAGTCATTTTGCAACTGTTAATAAGGATCACAGTTTGAGAGAAAAAATATCTTTTAAATCTCCTAAACTATCCTAGAACTAAAACATGATATCAATATTAAACAACAGTAGCAGCAACAAGAATAATAGCAGTGTATGTGATTCTACGTCCCTTGAGGCAAACTGATGCTACATAATCGTGGCACAGTCATATCTATATATCAATAAGGCATTCACACACACACACACATACAGACACTATGGCATAAAAACACTTGACCACACGCACACAAACCTATATATCATGATAGATAGTTCTACACATAGGTATACATAAGGGCTGTACATGCAGGGTCGCATTCCCTCTGTGCAACATTCTCGTTGATATTGACGTGCACACCGCTGACGTGGCTCTCTGGCTCAGCTGACACGTCAAGACAGGGGAGCGGGAACAGCTGAAATTTGCATCGTCTGTGAGTGCATATTTGCCTATCTTTTTTAATTGGTATATAACGCTTCACGGGTTTTGTCGGTTCAGAAAATCCTGACTGACTATGATTTGATTGATTTTGATTTTGAAAAAAATCCTAATGGATAGTATGTAAACACATGAATAAGTTATGAAAAATAGGAAGATCGATAGAGGTAGACGGGCATAGGTTTAATAATACACAGTTAAAGAAACAGAGATAGATGAAGATAAAGGCATTAAATTAATCCACTATGATGTCATTTATTGGAAGCCTTTACGAATTATTTTTATGTAGACACAGTTCTCCACTAAGCTTTACATATAAACGCATGCATACATATGTATATATCTATATGTATGTATTCATGCATGTATATACGTATTTATATATGTATAATATTAATATGATATATATATATATATATTATGTGTGTGTGTGTGTGTGTGTGTGTGTGTGTGTGTGTGTGTGTGTGTGTGTGTGTGTGTGTGTGTGTGTGTGTATGTATGTATATATATATGTGTGTGTGTGTGTATATGTGTGTGTGTGTGTGTTTCTGCTTGCATTCAACGGTAAGTTCCATAATGGACTCTTAGAACGGACTGATGCTCGGTGACTGAGGACTGACCGTGACCTTGAGAGACTCTCCCGGCCTTTCCGCCGCGCCGCTGAGGGTTCTTTATTTGGTTTACTGTATAAAATGCATTGTTTTTACGAACATTCACTTTCCTCAATTGTTGCTCACGACTAAAGTGTACGGTTTAGTATCATATCTACATCTCCTTTGCTTCGCTCTGCTATGGTCGCGAGCCTCCCTTGTCTGGCAACGACGATTCAACACCTGCGAGCCAGTGTTGCCATTTAATCTCACTGTAGTTCCACGTCAAAATATTTTTTCTCTACTAAAATATTAAGGATTCCACATTCAACATCTTCGAACGTTTCATCGTAGAATATAAGGTAGAAATCACATGAAAAGAAATGACATAAACGAATATCAATTTCACTGGGAGTAAAAATATAACAAACTTTCATCATGTATCACATCCGCTTTTTGAGATAAACAACGCAAACGTATGATGATTATCCAAGAAACAACAACTGGATTTTAATTTACATATCTACAGAAAACCGATATATCTGATCCAACAGCGTTAATGTTTATTGCTCATGTAATTGCATCTGAGAGAATGAAAGAGAGAGAGAATGGGAGAATGAAAGAGAACCCACACATACGAGAAACTTGCATGTCTTAGAATTATGCCACAGAAATTAAAGCAGGTGAATGCACGCCTTTGTCACTTCTCTCATGTCGGACAGCAGCCTCCACGTCAGACGATGGGCGTCCTGGCGGCATCCGAACGCTCGCTCGGTGATGCGTACTGCCTCATGCTGATCGAATGAAATCCGAATTATGTTGTCCTGTTTTATCTATGCGATTTACTTACGACAAACAATGCCATTTCAGGTAACATTCAGTATGTCCAGTACTTAAAGTCCTTGTAGCAGTATTATTTTGAAGGTAATCCTGACCCAAGGGGACCATTATTCACCATGGAAGTGGCTTTCCACAGGTAGGTGGAATGGTAGTTCAGGGGAACTCCACATTCCACTGAAATGTGGTGCTGATCCAGTGGAGGGGATAGGGCTGTAATGTTTTACAAGGCTCTATAGACACTTTATTTCCGCGACATAGGGGTGATAATCTACAGGTTTTGTACACAAGGACACTACGGTGCCCAACGTTGGGTCAGCAGGGTCAGGCCAGGCCAGGGCGCCCGTGTGGCACTCGCGCAATTCAGCATCAACGGTGATCGTGCGTGGACGCCGTGACAGGCAGTGCTTGGTGAATTTATTGATCTAATTAAAGAAGGCCGAGGTCCGTGTGACGCGAATTAACGTGGACAAGTGTGGCGGGTCCACAGCACTTCACAATTCCAAGGGGAATAGTACGCACGTCAGGAGTCGAGGAAACGCCAGTGTATAAATAAGTAATTCTGTTAGATGTATAAATTCATTTCTTGTTTTTATAATAACCATTTGAAATTAAACTGATAGAGTGAAGTCATCCGTAAAATTGTAATATTCTTATAACGACACTGAGCCCGCTCCGAAGAAAGTGCAATTGAATGTTATCCTGACCTATACGCGGATATATTTGGAATGTATTTAATTTCTTGTCATATCTGTTCAAGGGAGTACTATATTGATAAAAAGCAGCAACCAATAAGGGGCTAGGCAACACTCTCTCACACACACACTAATACACACACACACACATACATGTATGCATATGTGTATATATGATCTGATCTTGTATGTTCTCCTTCCTTCTGAGGTCTAGCAGAAAGCCTCTAGGATGTTTATATTTCATGAAAGAATTGACCGCAACCTCATCCTCAAGAAGTCCTGGGCTGCACTACCCCAGATTCTGTTATTGTCCGCGTAGTAGTGGACATAATCATCTCTATTAGTATGCTTATATACGGAGAAACACCGGCCGTCGTCACCCCGATGGACCAGCGTGTCCAGGAGAGGTAACTTCTGATCCTCTTCTTCCTCCACAGTGAACTGGATTTTCTCGTAAGCGAAGTTAAGCTGCGTCAGCATATGGTGTCAGCTCGACCTTCATGGGACGATGACGAGGACATCACCTAACGAAGCCAAGGAAAATGTCTGCCTTAGAGAGAGAGAGAGAGAGAGAGAGAGAGAGAGAGAGAGAGAGAGAGAGAGAGAGAGAGAGAGAGAGAGAGAGAGAGAGAGAGAGAGAGAGAGAGAGAGAGAGAGAGAGTGAATGAGAGAAAGAGAGAGAGGGAGGATGGGCGAATGAGAGAGAGAGAAGGAGAGAGAGGAATGGGCGAAGGAGAGAGAGAGAATGGGCGAAGGAGAGAGAGAGAATGGGCGAAGGAGAGGAGAGAATGGGCGGGAGAGAGAGATGGGGAAGGAGAGAGAAGAATGGGCGAGGAGAAGAGAGAAGAGAATGAGAGAGAGAATGAGAATGAGAAGGAGAAAAGAAGAGAGAGAGAATGGAGAAGAGAGAGAGAGAGAGAGAGAGAGAGAGAGAGAGAGAGAGAGAGAGAGAGAGAGAGAGAGAGAGAGAGAGAGAGAGAGAGAGAGAGAGAGAGAGAATGAGAGAGAGAGAGAATGGGCGAATGAGAGAGAAAGAATGTGCGAATGAGAGAGAGAGAATGGTAGAATGAGAGAGAGAGAATGGGAGAATGAGAGAGAGAGAATGGGAGAATGAGAGAGAGAGAGAATGGAGAAATGAGAGAGAGAGAATGGGAGAATGAGAGAGAGAAGAATGGGAGAATGAGAGAGAGAGATGGGAGAATGAGAGAGAGAGAATGGGAGAATGAAGAGAGAGAGAGAATGGAGAATGAGAGAGAGAAGAGAAGAGAGAGAGAGAGAGAATGAAGAGAAGAGGGAGAGAATGAGAGATGAGAGAGAGAGATGGGAGATGAGAGAAAGAGAATGGGAGAATAAGAGAGAGAGAATGGGAGAATGAAAAGAGAGAGAATGGGAGAATGAGAGAGAGAGAGAGAGAAGTGGAGAGAATGATAGAGAGAGAGAGAGAGAGAGAGAGAGAGAGAGAGAGAGAGAGAGAGAGAGAGAGAGAGAGAGAGAGAGAGAGAGAGAGAGAGAGAGAGAGAGAGAAGAGAGAGAGAGAGAGAGAGAGAGAGAGAGAGAGAGAGAGAGACAGAGACATAGAGAGGATAGATAAATAAATAGACAGACAGATAGATAGTCAGAGAGAGAGAGAGAGAGACAGAGTAAGAAATCTAAAACCGTGAAGCTTCCATTTGTTGGCAAGAACATGAATGTTATGCATTTGTATGTCTTGTATTGTTTATGACGCGTCTTTGTATATTTGCGTGCTGTTAGAGTGTCTAAGGCTTGCTTATGCGCGCGTGCGAATTAAATGTGTATGAATGTATATTCCGATTTATACGAAAGTGAAAGTCACAAGTGAAAGTTGATAGTGAAAGTTGATTGCGTTTGGCACAATCAGCCATAGGAATTGGGCATCAGTTGTGCTTTTGATAGTGGCTCGGAGACACAGGTAAAGGGAATTAGGAAAGGAAAGAGAAGGTTCGTTGATGATAAGATATTGACATGTA